GGCGACAATTTCGCAGATCGCAGCCCCCCAGGGATGGCGAGGTCTAATCTGAGTCCCCGTAGGGCGTCACTCCGCTGGCCACCCCAGCAACCCTCGAAACTGGCGACAGTTTCACAGATCGCAGCCCCCCAGAGACGGCGAGGTCTAATCTGAGTCCCCGTGGAGCGCCACTCCGCTGGCCACCCCAGCAACCCTCGAAACTGGCGACAGTTTCACAGATCGCCGCCCCCCAGGGATGGCGAGCGGCAAGCTAGGTAGGTAACAGGCAAGCGAGACGAAGAGGGGAGAGAGGAGGCGGGAGGAGGAGGAGGTGGAGACCACAGTGCTCTATTCAAAACGAGCACCCAACGCAGGAGGGTTGGGGGAAAAAAATGCTGCTCTCGCTGAGGCGCTGGCCTAATTTCTGCTCCCGAATCATTCCGAATCGTGCTCCCGCCGCAGCGTGGGCCTCATTTTCGGATCGGTGTTTGGCCTCCGTCGTTCAGGATGGCCTTCTCGCCCCAGCGCGGGCCTCTTTCTCGCGCGCCCATCCGCCCGCCACCACCGCGCCGCGCCACCACCACCACCCCACCACCACCACCACCACCACCACCACCACCAGCACCACTACCACCACCACCACCACCACCACCCACCACCACCACCACCACCACCACCACCACCACCACCACCACCACCACCACCACCACCACCACCACACAACCACGCACACACGCACGCACGCACGCACGCGCACCACCACCCACTACGCACGCGCGCGCGGAGCCACAGGTCCGCTACGACACGCGTCCGCGGATAGAGAAAATCAGCGCCATGGTAAGGGATGGGAGGGAGGGGTAGGACGTCAGATATGACGCGAGCGCACCTAGCTTGCCTCACTCCCCCTCTCCTGCGGACTCGCGGGGCTCAAGGGGCGCATAGAGTTCATAAGGCGCATAGGGTTCATACGACTCCTGGGGCTCATAGGGCTCGTAGGGTTCGTAGGGTCCATAAGGCTCATAGGGCTCATAGGGGTCATCGAGTCATAGGGCTCATGGGGCTCGTAGGGCTCGTAGGGTTCGTAGAGCTCATAGGGCTCATGGGGCTCGTAGGGCTCATATGGCCCATACGGGATATGACTCACTGGGCTCCTGGGGCTCTGAACACGTCTTTGAAACGCGTTGCGCGCGTAGATTTTCCCTCGGCCGGGAGCGCGCGAATGCGCCCCCCCGCGTCGAAGACCGACGCCTGGGGTGCTGGCGCGGCCGCCGCGCTGAAATGCACATGTCTGCTGGGCCCCTTCGACAAGGCTTCGTGCCCCGCGCACGCACTGATGGCGCACATTGAGGCGCGACGTCGCGCTGCTGGCACTCGCGCCCAGGACGCGCGCGAGCTTGAAGAACCGCTGTTCCCAGACGTTGCCGGCGGCACGGTGTCCAAGGCCGCGGTCATCCAGGGCTGGCAACGCCTCGCGGTCGACGGGCACCCTGTGCCAGGAGGCCACTCTGCGAGACGGTCTGGTGTAAAACGATACGCGCGATCCTTATGGCCGCTCTCAAGCATCCAAACGCACGGGCGTTGGGCTTCCTGCACGGTGATGGAATACGTTGAAGAGGCGCTCACCGAGCGGCCATTCGACGGCCAGGGGCGCGCCGCGAGCTCTTCTGTGGAGCCGCCGCCAGAGGCCCAGCTCGAGCAACTTGCGCGACGCGTCGCCAACCTGGAAGCGTCGATGCATTCGCTGGCAGAGGCACGGGGGCTACCAACCTCGCGGGTACCGGAGGTCAGGATCTCCGCGCCTCCGGCAGGTTGGTCCCGGTGGGTCCGGTCAGAATCTTCCGGCACCATCCACGCCGTCGCGAGCCCGCCGGACACGCCGTTGCGTTCGTGGCGCACATGCTGCGGCTGGCGATTTGGCTCGTCCGCGAGCCTCTCGACCTTCCTCAGCGAAGCGCCGGCAGCCGACGGAGCCAACCTCTGTCGAAAGTGCCCGTCGCCCCACCAATTCGCTCTCTCAGTCGCCGCGGCTTCGCCAGGTGGTGGAGAGGGCGTCGCCTGAAGGCTGGGGGCCGCCGCCGCTGGCACGCGCCCACTACTTTCACCTCCACGAGGCTGATGGTTCACGCCCCACGGGCTGGGATCATCTTCGGGTCTTCCCTTCGCCTCCACGAGGCTGGCGGCTCACGCCGCACGGGCCGGGGCCGCCTCCCGGGTTGCACCTTCGCTTCCACGAGGCTGGCGGTCCACGCCCCCCGGGCCGGGGCCGCCTCCCGGGCTGCCCCTTCGCGCCTCCTCGAGGCTGGTGGTCGCGCCCCACGGGCCGGATTCATCTGCGGGGCTTCCCTTCTCGCCTCCACGAGCCCGGCGGTCGGGCCCCGCGGGCCCGCGTCGTCCTGCGCAGCGCAGTCGTTTCACTCAGTCACAACGGACCTGCCGAGCACGCAGGACTTGGCGCACTGATGTACAAGAACAAGTGCCCGCCTATCTTCTCAAGGGCGGCTGGGTGCGATTGCAGGAAGGGAAGTGCTTGTCCGTTATTGACAGCTCAATTGAGGACAAGGCACTCCATATGCATGGTGGCGGGTGGCTTGATCCCATTGTGTATCCATCTTGCCCCATCATGTCTCCTTCATTCTGCTCTCCCCATTCCTATGCCAGCTCTTCGTTCGAGGCAGCCACGCGGATCGAGCATCGATGCTCCTGGCTTTCTCCCGCCCGCCCTCCCAATTGGGTGGGGGGGAGTGGGCGTCGCCTGAAGGCTGAGGGCCGCCGCCGCTGGCACGCGCCCACTACTTTCACCTCCGCGAGGCTGATGGTTCACGCCCCACGGGCCGGGGCCATCTTCGGGTCTTTCTTTCGGCTCCGCGAGGCTGGCGGCCCGCGCCTCACGGGCCGGGGCCGCTTCCGGGATTGCACCTTCGCCTCCACGAGGCTGGTGGTTCACGCCCGACGGGCTGGGATCATCTTCGGGTCTCCCCTTCGCCTCCGCGAGGCTGGCTGCCCACGCCCCGCGGGCCGGGGCCGCCTCCCGGGCTGCGCCTTCGCCTCCACGAGGCTGGCGGTCCACGCCCCCCCGGGCCAGGGCCGCCTCCCGGGCTGCCCCTTCGCGCCTCCTCGAGGCTGATGGTCGCGCCCCACGGGCCGGACTCATCTGCGGGGCTTCCCTTTTCGCCTCCACGAGCCCGGCGGTCGGGCCCCGCGGGCCCGCGTCGTCCTGCGCAGCGCAGTCGTTTCACTCAGTCACAACGGACCTGCCGAGCACGCAGGACTTGGCGCATTGATGTACAAGAAAAAGTGCCCGCCTATCTTCTCAAGGGTGGCTGGGTGGGACGAGACGTGCATCTGTCCAAACCGTGCCTTGAGCCCCAGGTGCCCCCACGATCCGAGCGCTAACGGGCACGCGCCATGCCTCATGGCGGCCCCCCCTTCGGAGGCCCACGGGCTTCTTTGCTACGTCGAGGCGAATCAAGGCATGACCGATATTGGATACGAGTCGGACCGAGTGGGTGAGCCTAAGCCTGGGTCTCGAGTGAGGCTGAGCATGGGTGGGTCTGGGTATGGGAGTATGAGTGTGAGCGATTTCTGGTGCAAGAGAGAGTCTGCGTGTGAGTTAGTCTGGGTATGAATGGACCTGAGTACGAGAGGACCTGGTCAATGGGGGTCACTGTACGATGCCAGCGCGAGTAGGTCTGACAACGAGTGGGTTCGAGATGGCTGGCTCGGGGATCGTAGACACTGATGTGTATTATCCTTGGGTTATATTAAACGTGGGCTTATACCGCTTCTGGAATTTGGGATCTCGGTCCAGGATCCCAGCGAATCGTGGTAAGCTCATGATTCTGGATTGTTAGAAATAGAAGCGAGGGGAAGTAACTCATTGTTTTCCTGCTGATTATAAACCGCATCTTGCCAGTCTCAAGATATCACTAGCGTCCAAGTGCCAGCGTTGTTCCCCACCATGGTGCTCTCCACGGAGAGAACCAATCAAGGGTTGATTTGTACAGGGAGTTTTGGACTGCGGTCCACTGTTCGGAAATGATCATCGTGGAGGCGGGGAAAGTAATCCTCACAACGCGTTCCATAACGGTCGCCCCTGGATATGGTATGAAACCATGAGTTGCGGTAAATTGTAGAAAGCAAATGTCGATCTCCCCTGCGTTGACCGTAGAACGAATTAAGTCCCGAGGGGGGAGCGGCCGAGCGATAGCGTTATCACCACGATGCAGTAAGGAATTGCATAATTCCGCGCTCGGGGTGGGGGCGGTGGGAGTACGATAAGCAAGACAGCCCAAGAGAGGCCTCAAGACGACCTCGTAGGAGGGAATCCTTGATACACCCCTGTGACAATCTAAACTAATTAGAGAAAGCCATCAAACAAACACATTGGACACGCTCGAAAACGATGAGAAATCCATACGGGTACCATAGGGAAACCAGCGAAACACGTTGAAGCACACTCGACAGCCATCGAACATAACGATCGAGCGTAGCCGAAAACCATCCAGAAGTTGGAGTTGCGCCTCGGCCCATGCCTTCCCCCTCCTCGGGCTGGAACAGGGCTCCTGAAGCTTCATAAGGGGTCCTGGAGGATTCTCAAGGCCGGTGCGATCGAAACTGGTACGGACAAAAGGGGTGCGAAGACCGACAGCAGTTCCTGTTCATGATGAAAGGATTCGCTGTCGGCGTCGCCGCAGATGTTGTCCACTTGACGCAGAACGACGCCCGGCCAACCCCGGCCGCTGTCGGTTTTGGGAAACATATGTTGGGCATCGCGCCCAGTTGTTCCACACCAATTTCGGGTGTCCAGATAAAAGGGCTCATTTGGAGCCCCAGGGCTGATCGGGTAGCTCTCGGATATGCATGCCGTGACGCTTATTGTTACCATTGCCATATCTTACTCAAGCTGAGAAACGGACATACCGTATATCATGGTGGCGCGGAGCAAGGTTGGTCGGCCTGCTTGCGATACCGCTGCGCATTTCTCCGCAGCGTCTGCGACGGACGCCGGCACGGCCACAGAGGCCGCAGACGAGATTGGTTGGAAGCTAGTCCTCGGATCGCCGCTCGAGAGCTGGGCGATCATCGTGACGGAGCTGCTGCGACTGGCGCTGCGCCGCACCAGGTGGCACTGCGAGGGCGAGGCTCTCAAGGCCATCAAGGCTCGCGGCCGCGAGGTCAACGACGAGCATGGACGAGGCCAGGTTCGCGCCGCCCGAGCAGGCACTCGCCCAGGCGCAGCAGCCGCAGCAGCGGCAAGTCATCCAGCGGCTGCCGGCCCAGGCGGAGTCCGCCGAGGCCAGAGTGCAGGCGGCAGAGGCTATGGCTCAGGAGGCCCGAGGTCAAGAGCAGCAGCAGCGAGCAGCCCAGCCTGGCGGCCCGCCGCAGGAGACAAACATATTGATTGACACACGGGTCCTCGGCAAGCCTAGTGACTTCAATGGCGAGCCTGGGACCTGGCGTGACTGGAGTGCGATTTTCCGAGCCTATGCCAGCGCGTGCGAGCCGGCCCTGAAGGACGCCATGGACAGGGCTGAGCATGCCGACACGCCAGTGCTGAATGCGACGCTGCCCGACGACCAGGTACGCTTCAGCAGCCAGCTCTACTATATGTTGGTCATGCTGAACAAAGGCCTCTCGTTAGACCGCATTGTCAGTGCAGGAGTGAACGAGGGGCTGGAGGCGTGGAGAACCCTGGTAACCTTCCACGAGCCTCAGAGCCGCACCCGGGCAGCAGGGCTCCTTCAGGAGCTGCTCTCGTGGGACTTCGAAGGTGACGTCCCCTCGAAGCTGATTGCGTTCGACAGGAATGTCAAGCGCTACGAGCAGGCTGTGGGTACAGAGTTTCCCGATGATATCAAGATAGGCATCCTGGTCCGCTCGCTCAAGGAGGGCCCGCTGCGCCACCACCTGCTCCTCAACAGCCAGCGGCTGAACACCTGGGAGCTCGTGAAGGCCGAGGTCGAGAACCTCAGGCGGGCCCAGACTGCGACGACGGCGAGCACTGGCACAGGCCCGACCCCGATGGACATCGACTCCCTGGCGCGGCAGCTGGCAGCTCTTGGCTTCAAGGGTGGCAAGAACGGCAAGGGCGGCAACGGCAAGGGCAGGGGCGGCAAGGCCGGCAAAGGCAAGGGCTCCGACAACCTGCCCACCAAGCCGTGCCCGATCTGTGGTAAGACAGGTACCTGGAAGCGAGACTGTTGGTGGAACACGACGGCTGCGTCAGGCAAGGCACCGCCGAAGGGCGGTGGAGGTCGAGGTCGTGGCAGAGGCAAGGGTGAAGCCAAGGGTGGTGGCGGACCGAAGCCGAAGCCATGCTGGACTTGTGGTTCGACAGCGCATCTAGCCAAGGACTGCCCGGTCGCCAAGAAGTCTGGCGCCCCGGGCGAGATGGGAGAGCCTGGGCCTCCTGAGGGCTTGGGTGGCCTCTTCCTGGCGGCGCTCGACCTGTCGGCCATGTCCTCGAGCTGTGAGACGGCGCGCTTCGGGATCGACTCAGGCGCGGCGGTCGCAGCGATCCCGCGCGCGCTGGGGACCGACTACCCGATCACGGAGAGGCCGTCGGGAGCGCAGTACCTCAGCGCGACGGGCGAGCCGATCCCAGATGAGGGCCAGCGCAAGCTCATGGTGCAGACTGGTGGTGCGCTACGGGGTATCAGGGCCCGTGTCGCGGGCGTCAGGCGGCCGCTGCTCTCGGTCTTCGACCTCGTGAAGAGCGGCCACCGCGTGGTCTTCGAGCAGGACCAGCACGGGAACGACATCAGCCACGCTGTCCACATCGAGAGTGGCAAGACCGTCCGCTTCACGCGGAGGCAGCGCACCTGGGACCTGGACGTGAGCATCGTGCCAGCGAAGGAGGTGAGCCAGATGTCCCAGACCCTCGTGAGGGAGCTCCCGCTCTGCTCGGTCGAGGGTTGCCGTGGTTGCAGCAAGCCACAGGATACGAAGCGTTTGTGCCCTTTCGGGCGGCAGGCGCTGCCGTAAGACCGGCCATGATGGCGCCAGCAGTGGGACCTCCTGCGCTGCATGGCGTCGCTTCTGAGACAGGAGTGGTACCTCATGGAGTTGATGATGGGCAAGTTGCGACCATCGAGAGTCATCTCGGCGCAGCCGCAGGTGATCCTGTCCCGCCAGGTGGAGCTGCCGTGGCAGGGGACGACGGAGTTGGAAGTACAATCGAGCTCGAGGGTGACGCCGAGGAGCGCCACGAATCTCAGCCCGCTCCAGTGCGAGCACGACGGGGGCCGAAGGAGCCGACCCAGGCTGAGATCGAGCAACACGAAGCAGCAGGTCACGTACCCTTCAGAGACTGGTGCTACTGCTGCTTGGCTGGGCGTGGCCGCGCCGATGGTCACCCAGCGGACGCTCCTGGGAGAGCGCATGCCATACCTACGTTTGCAGTTGACTACGGATACCTCGTGAAGCGGGAGGAGGTGGAATCGGGCCAGTCCGTGCTCCCCATCCTGGTCGGCATCGACTCAGCCACCTCGCGGGTCAGCGCCGACGTCCTCCCGTCCAAGGGCATCCAGCATGAGTACAACGTGGTCCGCGCCTTCTGCCAGGTAGAGGTGACCGGCCACCCGAAGATCATCCACAAGTCCGATGGTGAGGGTGCCTTGGTGGCGCTCAAGCGAGAGGCGACGATCCGCTTCAGGAATCTGAAGTTCGAGGTCGTGCCCGAGGAGGCGCCGGCCTACGACAGCGCCAGCGACGGCCTGGCCGAGGTAGCAGTGAGGGAGGTCAAGGGCGCGTCGCGGTCTCTGCGAGTCGCCCTGCCCCTGCTGCGCGGCACTGACATCCCGAACGACCATCCAGTGCTGACCTGGCTGGTTGCTCACGCTGCGGGGTGCATCAATCGTGGCAAGATCGGCGCCGATGGACGGACCCCGCGCGAGAGGCACAAGGGCAAGGCCTTCCGCAAGGTGCTGCCGCCTTTCGGTGAGATCATCGTGTTCCTCCCGAGTGCGAGGCGCGACACCAAGTTCGAGGAGCGTTGGAAGATCGGAGTCTTCCTGGGCGCCATCGAGAAGTCGAGCGAGATGCTCGTCGGCTACGACGGCAGTGTCGTACGTGCGCGGTCTATCAGGAGGAGGCCGCCGAGTCAGCGGGCTGATGCAGCCCTGTTGCGTTCGATCAGGGGCGCGCCATGGATGCCGACCCCGGACAAGCCAGAGAACGTTCGCATCCCGACGGTCATTGACGAGCCCCCTGTCGACCCAGCTGCACAGCAGCCGAGGGTTGTGCCAGAGCAGGTTCCAGCTGAACCTCGGAGCGTATACATTCGCAGGAACGTGGAGCTGGCCAAGTACGGCTTCACGGACGGGTGCCCGGGCTGCCTCGCGGCCCGCGCCAACGCATCAGCCAAGGCTCACAGCTCGGAGTGCCGTGAGCGCATCCAGCAGGCCATGGCGAACGACCCGGAGCTTGCCCCCCGAGTCTTTGGAGCGGCGGCTCGCTAGCTGGAGGCTGCTGACAGGGCGCCTGCGCGCCAGGAGGGCGCGAGCTCTGGGGCACTGCCTCAAGCAGCCAGCCCGGCTGAGGCGCCGATGGAGATCGAGCGACCTGGCCGACGAGCTGCTGGGCGCCGAGGCTCGCCCGCGGAGTTGCCGCAGGCATCGAGGCGCCGCCTCGCGGTGCCAGGCGGGCCAGCACCCCTCACGCCAGCGATCAGCGGTGAGCAGCCGAGGACGCCCGCACAGGCGCCAGCCACGCCTCAGGCGCAGGCTGCAGGGCCGAGCGGGCTCCTCCAGGCGCCGCCTGGAGCTGGGGATCCCATGGACGCGGACTCCCTGGAGCTCTGCGCGCTGCTGGCGGCTTTCGGCGACTGGAGGGTGGCCGTCAGCGAGCTCTACGGACCAGGACGGTTCACATCTCGGCCGAGTGCGTTCGACCTCGAGCCCGGCACAGCCTACGACATCAGGACCGGCTACGACTTCAGCCAGGAGGGTGACAGGCAGCGGGCGCAGGCCACCATCGAGCTAGAGCAGCCACTGCCGATCACTGGCAGCCCGATGTGTGCGCCGTGGTCGAACCTGCAGGCCCTCAACGTCATCCAGGGTGTGGACGTCAACGCCATCAACGCCATCATGGAGCGAGGCGTTGTCCACCTGGTCTTCTGTGCCGAGCGTTACAAAGAGCAGATCAAGGCTGACCGCCCCTTCTTGCACGAGCAGCCAGCATCATCGAGGAGTTGGCGTCTCTGGATGATCCGAGAGATCGCCGAGATGCCCGGAATACACTACGTAGAGTGCGATCAATGTGCGTATGGGTTGTGGTGCACCGATGCTGTCGGCCCGGCGCTGGTCAAGAAGCCCACGGGATGGTTGACCAACTCCGCTGAGATAGCCCGAGAGCTGACGCGTCGGTGTCCTGGGTGTGCTAGGCATTGCCAGACGGTCGGCCTAGGTCGGCGCGGCATGCGCATCATCGAGCGGTACCCAACGAAGCTTGCAGCTGCGGTGCTGCGTGGGCTACGTCGCGAGGCGATCGCCCGCGGCCAGCTGGGTGCGCTGGAGGCCGGGCCACACCTGGACGAGCCACCGATCTGGGACGCCTACCCCGAGTACTACACGGAGATCGTCGACAATATCAGCAGGGCCGCTTTGGACCCCGAGCTCGTGGCGGCTGGCCGCAAGGAGGAGATGGAGTTCCTCCGCGGCCTGGGCGACTAAGTGTACGACACCAAGCAGCGCTGCCGCGAGGAGACCGGGCGCGACCCGGCGCCCATGATCTGGGTGGACGTCAACAAGGGTGACGACCGTAAGCCCAACGTCCGCTGCAGGCTGTGCGTGGCGGAGACACGCTACCGCACGAGCATGGACCTGGGGGGCCCCTCGCAGACGTTCAGTGCGACACCCCGTATGAGGCTCTCAGGATGTTGATTTCCTTCTGCTGCTCGCCCAGGAACGCCGAGGAGGACCAGCACGTCCTCATGTTCCTGGACATCACTAGAGCTCACCCGCACTGCGAGATGAAGCGGAAGCTGCGGGTGAAGCTTCGCGGAGGACCTTCGCTCAGCTGACCCCAGCGTGTGTGGGCTGCTGGTCAGGTGCCTTTACGGTTGCCGCGACGCGGGCCAGAACTTCGAGCTGTTGGTCCGTGAGACGCTGGAGGGCAAGATGGGCTTCTCCTGTGGCGCGTGGTGCCCCTGCATATACCGCAGAGGCGACGGCAAGCTCGTGGCCTACGTCTACGGCGACAACTTCGTGTTGAAGGGCTCCCGCACCGACAACCTGGAGTTCTACCGCGAGCTGCAGAAGTACATGTGGGTCAAGCTCGAGGGCATGTTGGGACCCAACAAGAGCGCTGGTGATGTTCAGGAGGTGGTCTGCCTGAACCGCGTCTTCCGCTGGGTCTCGAGAGGCGATGTGGAGCTCGAGGCTGACTCCCGCCACGCGTTCATCATGATGCAGCAGCTGAACCTCTGGCGCGGGTCAAAGGCCCTCTCGACGCCAGGAGTAAAGGCCAAGAGCGCGGGCCGCGGCAGGGTCCTGGAGGGCGAGGAGGCGACTCGCTACCGCAGCCTAGTCATGCGAGCCAGCTATCTCAGCGAGGACCGCCCGGACATCAAGTACGCAGTCAAGGAAGCAGCGAAGTGCATGCACGAGCCGTGCGAGCACGGCATGGAGCTAGTCAAGAGGATTGCCAGGCATCTCCTGGGCCGTCCTAGGCTGGTTCAGAGGTTCCGACGCCGACGATGGTCAGGTGTGCTCAAGGGCTTCTCGGACAGCGACTTCGCCGGCTGCCTGGAGACCAGGAAGAGTACGAGCTGCGGAGTCTTCCAGCTGGGAGATCACATGATTCGGGTCTTCAGTGCGACCCAAGGCAGTGAGGCTCTCAGCTCAGGTGAGGCCGAGTGGTATGCTTTAGTGCACACTGTGTCCTGCGGGATCGGCCTAGTCTCGTTGGCGCGTGACATGGGATACGAGCTGGAGCTACGTTTGGCTGGCGACGCTACGGCCGCCAGTGGGATCGCGCACCGCCGAGGGGCAGGGCGCATCCGACATATCGAGACAAAGGCTCTCTGGCTCCAGCGTCATGTAACCGAGCGTCGAGTCATCCTTTCCAAGACGCTCGGTAAAGTCAACGTGGCAGATCTCGGCACGAAGCATCAGGCGCAAAAGGAGCTGGATGAGATGCTGGGACTGCTGGGATTTTTCGTGGCTACGGGCAAGTCTGCCCTCTCTCTCGCGGTCGCAGGCAACTTGCTTGATCCTGACCCAGCTTGCGAGCCCGAGGGCAAAGAAGAGGTGCAGGCGTGGCTTTCGCTTGATGTCGCCCGTGGCAGGCGACTGTGTTTTCATGTGCGCAGGCATGTTTCTCTGAGGTTGCATGTGGCGAGGCGTGCGAGTTTTCATTTCAGCTTCGCTGGAGCCACCCGGAGGTCGCCTGGGTCGAGTCTCGAGGGAGCTCGACGCGGCGGCGAGGAGGGCTGATCGGGTAGCTCTCGGATATACATGCCGTGACGTTTATTGTTACCATTGTCATATCTTACCCAAGCTGAGCAACGGACATACCGTATATCAAGGGCGCAGAAGGAGCTTCTATGTACTCCCAGAAAGGACCGTACTCCTAGAAAGGGCTCCTCAAGAGAAAAGTAGGTTCTTGCCACCTCTCCCCCCGGACTTACCAAGGCCCCTAGGAGTTTGCAAATTATATGGATCTGCCTTGTCGATCATTTTCTTCATAAGATCCCACTATCCCAGAAGGGCCGGGATCGCCCCCCTCCCCCCTCATCCTTGTGAAATCACACTATGTGCGCACGCTCGCGTAGTCCAAAACATGATTCAAGTGGTGTGCGCCGTTCCGCCGGCCCCAACAAGGAGTGAGTGTTTGAGACGATCGTGGTACTTATATCTTGTATCTGGAGCTTCCTAGATGAATATGAGGGTCTCTTGGGATGCCTCTCTGGGGCCTCTTGGATAACTCTCGGAGGCATGTGGGAGGCTTTCTGGGGCCTCGTGGGAGCCTGGGGTGCGTCTTGGAGGCTTCTTGGGGCCTCTTGGAGGGCCCTCGGGGGCCTCTGGGGCCTCGACGGGCCATCTCGGCGGGCAAGGTTCGACATTCCACTTCGTATTCTCCCTTTTGGGCTTTCTTGGGGTCCTCTTGGTGCTCTCCAGGGGCTGTTTTGGGCCGTCTTCGGGGGCCCCTGGGGCTGTCTTGGGGTCCTCTTGGGGCCTTCTTGGAGGCATCATGGACCGTCTTGGGACGATCGTGAGGGTCAATTGGGCCGTCTTGTTCGTTGTCTAAACGTTGCGAACGTGTTGGGAATGCATATTTTTCCAGGGACAGATGATTCTGGCCTCTTGGGGCCCTTTCGACTATCCTCTGTAGGCACTTTGGGCTATCTTGGGGGCCTCGTGGGCCATCTTGAAGCCATCTTGGATCGTCGTGGGGCTACCCTGGGCCGTCATGACGCTCTCGTCGACCGTCTTGGCGCTCTGTCTGGGCCCTGTTGGGCTGTCTTGGGGCGTTATGGGAACTCCGGAGGTCTCGGGGAGGCGTAGACGAGCTCGTCCACCACCCCCCGAGGATGGCATTCGGGACCCCAGGGGCGGGGGAAAGGGAGAGGGGGACAGCCAATTGTCTCACACGCCTTTTCACGCCGGGCAAGCGGCGGTCGGCGGACTGTTCCAAGAACCCCCTTGCAAACACAGAATCCAAGTCCACACGCGCGCGCTCACATGTCGAAGTAGCACCAGAAGTCTTAGTCCCACAAACCTCACATCATGAAAACCACTCCAAGCCGAATCCGGCCAGTCGAACTCGGCCAGAGGATGTCGGCCGGACCAATTCGGAGTTGGCCGCGGTTGGCACGAAGACAAGCACCGCCTGGCGGCGGGCCCGCCGGGCGGAGGGGCGGGGGGGGGGGTACGACGAGGAGGAGGAGAAGAGAACAACAGGGAGGGACCTGGGAAAGGGTGAAAATAGGAAAGTGCACGAGGGAAATAGGAGACGAGGGAAAAGATGAGGATCAGAAAATGCATCCTCGAACCTACGGAGCACACACATCAAGCCCAGGGTAAACCGCGCGAAAACCCAGAGGAATCCGCGCGAAGGGCTGAAGGCAACTCAGGACACAAAGAAAGCAAAGGCAATTCAGGAAAATGATGAGGAATCGCAAGAGACTGAGACCACTCAGGTCCCTTGGGCACTGAGTGGATTCCCACGGGATTCCCGAGAATCTGTGAGGGATTCGTAAAGTTTCTTGAGTGATTCGCGAGGACCCCCAAGGGATTCGTGAGGACTCCTGCTGGATTCCTGAAGGAGGCCTGATGGTTTTGTTGGGATTCCTCAGGGCTTCGCGAGGGCCCCCCAAATGGATTCGCGAGGATTCCTGATAGGGGCCCCTTAGATGAGACGCCTGAAAGAATCTGAGAGACGCCTCCTGATCCCCCCATTTCTCTTCCGCCCACCCCACGCAGAATTCTGCTATTCCCCCCTTAGTTGTTTCTAATTTTCCTCGGGTTCCCCACCCCCAGGAAGATCAACACCATTGCGCCGCCAGCGCTACTCAGCACCAGTATTGAGGACATCTTTCCCGAGCCCCCGTCCTGAGCAACGGCGGTAGGAGTACCGTTGCAGATGAGATAAGGCAAGGGCGGAGTGCGTGCCCTTTTCGCAATGGTGATCTCGCTTGAGACATCCTTTGCTCAGGCGACACGGGCAGAAGCTCAACATCGGCGTCCGCATTGAACCCCAACATCGGGCTGAATCCTCTAGCTCGCACCATGCAGACTGCACATCGTAGATTGCACCACAGATCTTGCACCACATAGCTGATCCACAACTAGCTTGCACCACGCAGATTCTGCTTGCTAAAACAGAACTAGGATCGACCCCCCCATCAAAGATTGTCCGACTGGCCTCGCGTATAGCAATTTGCGAATCGTTTACCCAACAAATTATTTCACACATGAGTTCATTCCATCCAAGAGGAACCAGTATCGACCCCCCTCTTCCCTTGCAAAACAAACTATACGCGCACATTCGTCTATCAAAAGTCATACGTTTTCGAGGCGCCAGTGCAACAATGAGACGAAGTGCACACACGCGCGTCGTCGCGCGTGCATGCCGAGCAACATTATCGCTCGTAGAGATTTCAATGCAACAGCAGAGGCAAGGGCAAGGGCAAGAGCAAGAAGCTCAGGTTGCATAGGCCATGCCTCCCCTGCTCTCCTCCTCCTCCTCCTCCTCCCGCCGTGCTCATAGTAATTCGAGTGGGGGTGTGGGATGTTTCTGGATAGGTGCATGCAATTTGCAGCGAAGATTGCAATCGAATGTGAACCTGTGTGTTGTATCAGAGTGAGGGGGCCGAGCGGTCAGTCACTGTCCCTGGGCGTGTGGCTAAAGTAAGGTTCCGAGGTCCGGATTGTTGTTGAGCTATCACTGTTGAAGAGCAACTATTGGTGATCCCCCCCAGTGGTGCACATGTTATTGCGAAGGCCTTACGGCCGGTGCCGCCGACCCTGAGAACGACGAAGATGAGAACGATGGGGGGCAGGGGGAGAAGGATGAGTGGGAGGTGGAGAAAGGGTGGAGGAGGTGGATGAGGGAGGAGGCGCGGGGAGAAGGATGTGGAGGAGAAGCAAGCGTCTGGAGGCCGTCAAGGCGTCTTGGACAGATCGTTCGGTGGTTCGGAGTTCTCTTGGACTGTCTTTGGGGCCTCTTCGGGCACTCTTGGCCCGTCTTGGGGCTTTTTGGGGCTCGGGGACTCCCCTGGGGGGGCGTCGTATCTGACCCCCCCCCCCCTCCAGGACCCCCCCCCCCCCCCCCCGGGACCCCTCCCCCGGGACCCCCCCCCCGGGATCCCCCTTCCGGACCCCCCTCGAGGACCCCCCCCCTCCCCCCCGGCGGGGGAGGGATCGAAGGGAAGGGGCTTCCTTTCGACTCAATTTCGACGTTGCTCAACTTCGCTTTGGTTGGCGCACTGAGGAGGTCCTGGGAAAGGGGGGAGCTTCGACGAGCCCAGGGAAAGGGGGAGGCAGGGAAAGAGGAAGACAGAGACGACGACCAACGAATGACGGAGATGACGACTTGAACGGACAAACCCTTCACACACGCCGACAGGGTCGGCGGATTTTTGAATTGAAGTGCCCTCATCGGGTCTCGCACCCCGTTTTGTACCAGGGAACGTTTTCCTGCTCAAACTGTTTCGAAGTCAGGTGGGGCACTCTGAGAGGCCGCCCCCCCTGCCTTCTGAAACGGCCGCCCCCCTCGCCCCTGCCCCTTCTGCGCGCTGCCAGGCGAGCGGGCAGCAGCGCGCATCGGCGTGTTCCTCCTCCTCCTTCTCTTCCTCCTCCTTCTCCTCCTCTTGCTCCCCCGCTCTCCGCCCTGATACTCCGCCACCTCCTGCTTCACTCCTTCTCCTTCCCTATCCTTCCTCTCTCTCCTCCCCGCCCGCACCCTCCCCGCACAGGCTCGCCAGAGCTCGGGGGCGCCCCACGGGGAGCGCGGGCGGCGGGCACCGGGCGGCAGCCGCGGCGCCCGCTGGACGGCGACGGCGACCTGCAGCTTGCGCAGGGCGCCTTGGGGGACCACTTGGCGACGACGACAGCTCCCGGAGGAGGCAGGATCCCCCAAGGGCGCCCTGCGCGAACTGCAGCTCGCGCAGGGCTCCCTTGGAGGACCACTCGACCGACGCATAACCTGACCGGAGAATCGGCTGCATGACAATACTTAGATCTAAAATTATGTAAGTTGTATCGCTTGAGTTGGCTCGCATCTTGTTGCGGAGTTACTTCATCATGGCCAAACGGAGCAGGCAGGATCGGATCGGATCGATTCGGCAGGAGGAAGCGTCAAGCTGCGCAACGCCGTGTGGGCCCCCTCTGTGGTGTATGTGTGTGGAGCCAAAAGCTCAAGCAACGTATTGGCAGTACTTCAATCCCACCCTGCCCGGCGGACAAAAACCACCCCGGTCCTAACCATCCACCCTTGGAGGAAGCAGGTGGGAGGATGAAGGAGGGCCAGAGATTCAGTTTGTGATTCACGCACAAACGTAATTTATGCTACAGCGCACCGCCTCGTCGCAAGCCCCTTCACGAGTCAACGCGCAGGGGGGTGGGAAAACGAACTCTAAACGCTTCGCGTATCCCTACCAGTCGCCGTAGCCTCTGGCTCAAGCCTGGCTCAAGCCGTCTCCTGGGCCTGGCACTCGCTTACCAGTCTCCCAAGCTCGAGGGGGCGCCCGACGCATCGCTGCGCGGGCGCCGCCTCCCTCGGGCCGCGGTCGGCCATATCCCAGCGCCGCTCGCGGCGCAGTCACCGGCGAGGCGCAGCACCAGCCTGCCAGGTCAGGCTTGGCTCTATGGAGGATGGGACTTCGGATCGTGGCGCCGATCATCATGGTAGAAGCCAGGGTGGGGGTATGAGCCTAGTGCAGGACCTGGGGGCCCAAACACTGGCAGCAGCCAGCTCTCCCTTGGAAAGCACCCCATCCCAGATCCCTCCTGGACAACCCTCGCCGCCAGACCCAGAAACGGAACCGACCGACCCCATGACGATCAATCCTATGTCGGATCCGCCGATCGATCCCGCAGCTCCTGGTGAAAGGATGAATGACACTTCGGCCTTCAGCCGAGGAGACGATGATCTCCACAGTAGAAGCCTGGCAGATTCAAGAATAGAAGCGACCTTCAGTCGCAATCCTGGTAATCCTGGTCATCCTGGAAGAGAAGAAGCGATCTTCAGTCGCAATCCTGGCAATCGCAGTCAAGACAACGCTCTCCGTCCGCTCCCCACCTTCGATTATATATCCCACCCTCCCCCTTCACCCTCAAGGCCCCCTAGTGTCAGGAGAGGAAAAAACACACAGACACAATTAATCCTCGATTCCCCAAAAAATATGGGAACCAATGGGAAGTGGGGGGAAGACAGAAACCCAGAAAATATTGGAAAATTGAGGGAATATTATTATTTGTGTGCATTTATTTGTGTGTCCTGGGGCCTCTTCATAGTGGCCCTCACTCCTGGAGGGACTGTGCGCAATGGCCCCGACGCCACGGGCGTCGGCATTGCGGTGGGCACTGACCCCGATCCCTATCTCAGCGCCTGGAGTCAGCAGGATGCCACTGACTCCACCGATAGGGCCCCCAGCCCTCGCGGCGCGCGCGGCACCAATCGGGTCAACCTCCACCTGGGTGCCCCAGTTGCGGGGGCAGCGGACGATGGCGCCCTGCTTGGGACCCGCCCGACCCCCCTGGAAGAGGTGATGATGGCGATGCTTCACTAGCTGGCGAAGGAACTGCAGCCTTCAGCTGCGAGAGGCCCCCCCCAGAGCACGGATCACCACCCACCCACAGGCGAGCGAGTCACTCGCTTCCGAGGTTCAAGCCCTGGCGCACCACAGAGCGGTTCCCCGGATGCACCCTCAAGTGCAGCCAGTGGCCTGCAGACCTTACACGGAGAAGACAGGCCTTTCAGGCCAGAAGGAAACTTAGTGATGAGCCCTGCGGGGGGCGAAGCTCACGCCTCCACCGTGCACGGTGGCGGCTCGACGCGTCTCTCTCCTCCCCCTAGAACCACCCAGGAGAGCGACCCGCACAATGGAGCAGGAGATGCAGCCTTCAGCTGCCGAGCACTCTGGGGTGGCGAGGTACGCAGCAGAGCAGACACCAGACGCGATGTCGCCCCGGCTGCGCAGAGTCATCAGCATGGCGGCGCGGCTACGAGGGCTGCCACCAGGGGCGACGAGGGGGCCCAGGGCCCCGGTCCGATGGAAGCCCCCCCCCCCCCCGGAGACACCGCGGGAGGCTGCGCCCGCGTCGGCAGCGAAAGAGCGGCCTTCAGCCGCGCTAGGGGGGAACCGTCCTGCGACGGTGGGGGCGCCGACTGCAGGGGGGGGCCCGCGGCTCGAAACGGCGCGCAGCCTGGCGCGGACAGCGATGCTGAGGGTCAGAGGCCGCCCTCGATGGTTACAGGCGCCCCCCCCATTGCTTTCTCAGAAATGGCCGCCTTCAGCAGCAGAGAACTGGGCAGCGTCAATCCCGGCGGCGCCGACGCGGCGTCGGAGGCCGTCGCCGGGAGGGGCCGAGAGCCGCAGGCCCCGCCCTGATGGAACCCCCCCCTGGCCACGCCGCGACCGGCAACGCGGCGCGGAGCGCGGGGGGAGCGACCGCCGGCTGCCTCGGGGGGGAGCTGCTGTTTGAAGGCATGGGCCCCCGCGGCAGAGCCACCTCGGCTCCTGAAGCTTGCGGCCTGGATCGGACAGCGGCGCGGCGAACGGGCGCCCCCCCCCCCCCCCCCCCATGGGCGCGGAAGACCGCCCCCCAGTTTTCTCAAGCGGCTGCCTTCAGCAGCAGAGACCCAGCGGGGGCGTTTCCTGGGAGCGCCGACTCAGCGAGGAACCCTGGGCAGTCAGCGCAGCAAGTGAGCCGTGGGCCTCGCGACCCAGATGCAGCCCTGGCGGCGCCGGGCCCCCCGTGCGACAACCCCGCCGTAGAGTAGAGCCGTAGCGGGCACAACCGCTACACTCTGCAAAACGCAGATGTGGCATTCAGAGGTCCAAAAAAGGTTCTGGAAAGGTTTTAGAATATGGTAAAAAAAGGTCATATGGAGGTGTCGCGTTTTTGGAAAACAGTGTTTGTGTCAGAACCATGCGTTTGCGTTGATGATGATGACGATTTGGGATGATTGTAATACCGATGCGATGATTGATTATTGTAGCGATGTGAGTGTAACGCATGTAATGTAGCGTGTGTTCCACTTGTGCAACTTGTGCCCATTGGGGGGGCAGGGGGAGGGGGAGGGCTTCTTGGAACTAGCCCCCAGGAGCGCGAAGATAATCGCGCTTCGCGCGTCGCGGCCTGGGCTGGAGAGCTGTCTTTCGCCTAAATGTCCTCGCGAGGGCGCGAAGATAACTGTCCGTCTCGCATCGCGGAGTTGCTTTCATACAGCATGGTTGGTCCACGCCTCACTTTGCCTCTCCTCTTTAGCCGTTTTGGCTCATGCCATCGCCTGTTTGGCTTTTATGGCACAACCCGCGAAACGAAGAGGCGGTGATATTGCCGTGGCACAACAAGCTGCGATTGAGAGCAAAAGGCAACGCAAGGAAACCACACTCGCTTTGATACAACACGAGAAGCAATTTGATGTTCCTCGGTATATATTGAACCAGCTTGGCCGAACGTATGGCATGCTTGTGGGATCTCCTCTTGTGGATGTTGTGGGAAACATGGTAGTTGTCAAGCGTGACGCAGATCAGACGCCAGAGTCTTGCGAATTGTCCCAGTTTGCGAGGCAGTACGTTGATGCTTCCGAAGGCAGAACGACCGCGACGAGAACAGCTCAATCTTCTTCCTTAGACACGTCTCGAAAACAGTTGGCCTCGGAGATCAAGTCGTTCAGCGCTGCAGTGTGGTTGGTTGACCGCTGGTGGAGAAGGAATGTTATCAGAGCTATTTCTGGAGACCCACGCTCCACGCTGATGCAGACGATCGACGACGTTGGATACGATGAGACTCCTGCAGAAGTGGCTGGCACGACGCAAGTTAGATTCACATCTAGACCCCATGACATGCAAGCAGAGACCCAGATCGCCGTCAGATCACTACCCAAAATGTTCAAGGCAGCACGAGCAGCGACCACCACCAAGCTTCTGATTACAGCGAACGCCTACGAGATTCTGTCAAAGAGGTCGGGTCCCAACGAGGGTGACCTTCCGAAGTATTTCATTTTCCTCGGCTCCCACGTCTCCATCGCGCAGGCGCTGCAGTCGAACTGCGTCGGCGACATCATGAACGCATTGGAGGTTTCACAGTGTTCTTCGGAGATGGAGGCGTTGGCTGAAGATGCATCGCGGTGCGTTCACGTTGACAGACACCCGTCAAATCTCCAGTGCGAGAGGCGTTTGTTGCGTCGCCGTCTACGACAACACTCACGTTGGCCTACGTTTCTTTCGACATGCGCCCAACACAAAGCAATGACGATATCAAATTCGATTCTTTTCCCACAGGAGATGAACGACGCTGCCTCTGCGATCACGCACGTCAGCTTATCTCTTAAGATTGGTACTTTCCGAGTGGCCTTTACGGAGTCGATGCACGACGTCATTCGAGAAAAGGTCCATGTCAGAGAAGGCGTGTGTGAAGATGAAGATACACTCTATCGTCGCCTCGTTCTTCGATGGTTCATTCGGGTTGGGTCTCGAGCGTCCGTGAGGCGCATGCTGTGCGACAGGTTGGCCCCGTGTTGTTGGAACAACGACAAGATATACTACTGGGTGCCCCCTGGCTCAGAATACGACGAAGAAGAGATCAAATCGAGCGTTGCTTCGGGGCTCACCGAGGCTTTCACGAATAAGATTTGGCCTGTATTCAACAGGAAGAAAATGGCTCGGGGCGAGGAGGCGCTCTGTGACTTCACGCTTCCACTTCTGTGCTGCGGGGTGTTGAAAGAAGCTTACGCCGAGTGCTGTAAGCGCCTGAGGCCCAAGAAAACGGCGAATTCAAGTGACGCAGCCACACCCGTGGATCCCTCGAGCCTCGCTCTTGTTCCAGCGGAAGCTGGCGCTCGCGTTCCAGTGGAAGCTGGCG